GGGCTTGGTGTCCTCCTGGCACACAGACTGTACCCTGCTAGCACTGTGCCTGCCAAGCAGTATGCATCCCTGATCATCTTTTTGAAGCAGAGCTCCTGCCAGGACCTGCTGGAATGCTGAGGTCCCCCTGGAAGACTGGTTTTCCTCAGGCAGGGCCACCCCAGCAGGGCTGCAAGCCTGCAAGCTCCCATTCCACTGTAGGCAGCTGTGGGTGCAAGCAGGAATAGTGCCATACTTTCACCTTAGTTCAGGCAGAACTATTAAATCTCTGGAATTTCAGTCTGATGTTCATAAAAATTATAAATGTTACATTGTTTGGCAGCCTCTTCCATCAGCCTTGTCCCTTTTCTAACAGGATGTTCACAACTTTTCAAGTGATCCAGCTGTGAGAGCTTGTGTTCTGTGCTGCTTCTGGCAGTCAGGCTAATAGGCTAGTCAAAGCAAGAGGTACCTTGAATGAGGTAGAAATAGCTGTCTCCTCCAGAGATAGTTAAATTCCTGCACTGGTGATAGCACACTACGTAGGGACTGGAAGAAGTTCAGGAAAGTTGCATGGCAGCAGTGTCCTCCTGAGCTCAGAGATGCTAGCGAGTAAAGGGGGTGAGAGTCATAAGTATGGGCTTTATGGAGAACTCCTGTCCCCCATGCTTTCCAAATGCCAGAGTGTCACTTCAGCATTAATACGGTTTTCCCTAAAGGAAAACGTACTAAACACTTCAGCCTATTATGATCATTGCTTGATCTACTTCAGAAACACCTTCTGGGCTCTCACAGCTTCGCTTGCTGTTTGCAGCAGCTCTGTTAGACATGCACTGCACATCCCCTGGGAGCCTCAGAGCTGAAGGGGAAAACTGAACTGCTACTGATTCAGAAGATAAAGAGACATTGCGAAGTTAGTGCACCTACGTACGCCTCCAAAGAGAAACTGAATAAAAATCCACCTTGATGTGCTCTTGAATTGCAAAAGCCTTCTAATGCAGCCTGTGTCCATGATTTATCACAATGACTCATAATATTGCATTATACTTAATATGATGTAACGCTGATGCAAGATGCCATTCGTGGAATTTCAATGTCACAGAGAAAAAGAGAGAGCAGTCAGCTCATGTACCTTGCCATGCTGTCAAAATGAAAAGTTTACAGCCAAAATACATAGAACCTTTCAGTATCTACTTTGCTATTTTTTACCAGGATAACTTGGACAAAAATGTTTTTATTTCCTGGAGCATAAATATCTCTCAGACATACGTTATTGTGTTACTTACAGTAATTTAATCAACTTTGTACTTGAGAAGACAAATTTGCTAACAGACAATTCAGCCTTGCAATTATAACCCCTCACATGGACGTTTGCAGGGCAAATCATGATTATGTCTTTAAATTAAATGAAGCTTTATCTCTCTTTTCTGACCCAGCCATTTGGAATTCTCCTCCTGTTCTCCCTGTACTGCTTGCTTCTTCCTGCAGTGAATCAGCATTTCAGGAAACACTAATTCAAAGAGGAAAGACACCCTAAACTCTGTTGCTGGAGGTCAGAAGTAGCTGCTCTCCAATAGGTTTGACAAATGAGCTGAGGCTTCTCAGGCTGCTTGGGGCCAGTTTTGGAGGGTGTATGCGACCCCTGTTCTGAACTCTGCCCCTTCCCTTCCAAGCAGCCTGGGAACTCTTGAGTTGTGCCTATGTGCAACAAAACTGAGTACTGGTGGTTTGTCACCAAGACAGAGAGAGAAACAGAGAGTTACAGACCTGTCCTTTCACAGTGAGGAAAACAGCTACTTGCTCCAACCCAACAGCAGAGGCATAGTGTGCTCACTTGCCCTGCAGGAACCATTGGCATCATTGGCTTTAGTTTGCAGCACTGGAGCAGCTGGAAATAGGAACATTTCACCACGCTGCTCTCAGGTGGGAGTGCTTCTCACTGCATCTTGGGCATGCACATAAGTATTTTTCAAGCATAGAATCACAGAATGTTCAGAGTTGGAAAGGACCCACAAGGATCATTGAGTCCAACTCCTGGCCCTGCAGAGAACACCCCTGAGAATCCCACCATGTGCCTGAGAGCATTATCCAAATGCAGCTTGAGCTCTGGCAGGCTTGGGGCTGTGGCCACTTCACTGGAGAGTCACACTATTGCCCTGACAGTCATGTGTTCAGTATGTTCCGAGACTGTTGCTGGCACTGCAGGAAGCAGAGAGACATCTGCCTAGGTAAAACTAGACTATGAGAAGATAGAAAGTCTTGAACTGAGTTCTCCAGAAAGCCTGAATCAGGCTTTTGCTGATCGTTCTCTGTTGTTTTATACCATAGAGTCCTCCCTATGCCCAGTTTCCCTGGGAAGCCCAGCAGACCTGCCTGCTGCAGTGAAAAGTCTGTCATCTCTTGCTCACCAATATGGAAGAGATGAATTTCCTGGTGATCTTTAAGAAGACAACTAGATAATGATATTACCAGAGTGCATCCTCAACCACTTGCAGCTGGTGGTGTCCTGAAGAAGGACCTTTCCACAGAGGAGCACTCAGGTGAGTGGGCACAATCTCACACTGCAAGACCAAAGAAGTAGAGGGGACTGACTTTTGAACAGTGTAGTGGTGCCTACAGGTGAAGGTTACAAATAAATAAGAATTGAACATCTAGTTTATTTTTGGAAGCCTGATAGGTGCCAGTCTGTCTCCTAGGTCCATAAATACCATCAAAAATCTAGCCATGGGCAAGTAAAACTAGACAAGAATTTGTAGCCCAGAGGAAAGCCACCACGAATAGATTGTGTGGAGGCTGATAAGATCCATATTGCTCCGAAAGGGAGAGTACCACCTCACAACAAGACTGTCTTTGTTGTGAAAGAGTTAGGCTGTGAGAGACCTAGCTTGCCAAATACCCATAATGGCCTCTCTCTGCCAATTGTCTTTAAATACTGTGATCTCTCCCCCAAGAGCAAAGCCTGAAAAGAGTCTCTCTGGCTAAAACATCATTTCTTCATTCTCTACAGGATGGTTGGATAAGAAGCCTCTTCTCAGTCCTGTTACTCTTTCTTTCCCCTGTGGATTTCAAATGGAGATTTGTTCGAACCAAGATCAGTAGTTCTGCTCAGTGAGGGATGCAGGAAGAAGTGCAGGAGTATCTCTAGATCGGAACAGTTTCTGAGCCTGCTGGAGAAATGGCAGATGGCCAGAGATAGCACACACTACTGTTCTCCCAGATAACAATGTGTAGGGCTGAATCTTCCAGGCACAAGCTTTCAGGACAGCAAATTGTGCACAGAAAGGTGAGAAACAAGATGCTCATGGACTCAAAGGGAGACTGCTGAATGCTTTGTCTTCCCACAGGCCAGCTCCAGGAGCAATATGCCTCCTCCTCTGCCCAAGCTCCATACCTGGGTGATAGTGGAGACAATAAAATGTAACTTTTCTATTTGTCTGTATCTTTGAGCTTTGCATTGGGAAAGAATTTCTAGCCAGTAGGCAGTTCCATATATGTTTGCAGTCTGGCGTAGGCTGGTGTGTCATTTCTTAGAAATCTTTTATTGCCAGCACCTATCAAATGCAAGCAGACCTGTCAAGGAAGTAGCTTTCCCACAAAGGTGAAACTCCTCTGCTATTTTTTACTTCACTGCATTTGTGCTTGTATAGCAGAGCAGACTGTGGGCATTGGTGTTTTATCAGGCTTTTCAGTATGTGCTACCAGAAGCCAAGTTATAAAAATCTGAGATCATTTATTTATCAGATATTAGTGGATAATCCTTGAGTTATTCTCAGAATTCATTTTGCTAGTGTTTTGAAGTACAAGTTTCTGCACCAGACACAGGCATTTGGGATACTACCAAGAGTAAAAACCATAATCTCACCTATAAAACTACTACAGTAGCACTACATAAAAGTAGGTTTAGGCTTTTGTTTGGGGTGGAAATGGCTTTTCTTCAATACAATCTGCTTGGCTCCAGCATAAGTGGAGACGTCTCAGAGCTTACAGGTAATTACCTCAACTAAAATAGTATCCACAAATTAACTGCTGTTCCTAACTTCCTTCTGCCATTTGCTTCTAAGTCACACTAACATAATGCTGAAATCAGGACTAATGCACAGGAGGGCAAACAGTGGAGAAGGTAAAGCAGAGAGTGAAGGAAGCAGAGGATTGACAGTCACTCCCATGGGGACTGCTGGAGGTACTGGACTGTACCTGTCAATAACAGTACAACTACTGGACTGTACCTGCACATGGCTGTATGGGGAGCAAACACACACACACCCTGACTACTCCCAGCTGATGTAAATCGGAGTCACATCACCACTGGGACTGCCCTGAGGTATGTTGGGGAATGCCTGACCTGCTGGGATCTGAGAAGCACAGATCAGATTGGATCTTGCATCTGCAACAGCTACCATTGGCAATCAGAAAATTGCCCAAGGCAGCAAATCAGGGCATTCAGTGCCCAGGATTCCCAGCAATCCTGTGTGTGGAAGCTGCTAGATTCCTGCCTTCCCCAGTGCTGGTTCTGCAGTAGCTGCTCTCAGCTACCCTGCCCCAAAGAACGGGGAGGGAGCAGGAATCTTGCTGTGCAAAAGCCAAATCCATGTCATGGTGCGAGTCAGCCTGTGGTGTCTTTGCTGAAGTATTTCCCTCCTTGCAGAGGTAGTCCTCACACAAAGAGCAGGGTTTGAACAGTGGGGTGAAAACGATCCCTTTTCAGCTGAGCGAGTTCATGTCTGAACCTGACGAGAATCCTGCTCACCCACACAGTAGCAGGCAGCTTTTATCATAAGTACCATTTGACTTCCCAGATAAAATGTTTGTTTGCTTTTTTCTTTTTACAGCTGTAAAGAGTAACATTTAGATAAATATTTGACAGACAGATGGTCCAACAAGCTTGTCTAACTTGCAGAGGTGCCTACTGTAAATGAAGCTAGCATGAAAGCACTGCAGTTTTCCTGCACTGTAGATGATCAAACCCCATCTCCAACCCCAGGATGGAGACGGCCACCCCTGGGGAGAGCAGAGGTACTCACCTTGCGCCCAGCCTCGTTGTTGTGCAGGTTCATGAGTGTCCTTGCGTTCTGCTTTATCTCCCGAGCATCCACAAACACCTTGGCGAATCCTATTCCGTAGCGGATGTCAGCAGAGCAGCCTCCCCATTTCCAGCCTTCCTCTTTGTGGTACTGTCCCTGTTTCTCCTTGTCGCAGCCGCAGTCGCTGAGGTTGCCCTGCGTGCAGGCTGCGGTGATGGCGTGGGCCACCCCAGCAGCGATGATGGCATAGGTGAAAGCTGCTTCTCTGCTACCTGCGATTTAACAAGGGCCATAAATACATGATACAACGTGGTGACATGAGTTAGAAAAACAGGCAAGTTCCTGCGGGGCAAACAGCAGGAGCTATTATTAGAAGTGCTGTAAATCTGCAAGCATAAGCAGGTCCCTGCTCTTCTGAGTATTGATTTTGGTGGATGTTCACTCTCTGAAACCAGAGCTTTCCAGGAGGTAGTAGGAGATAAAGTATTGTTTAGGCAACTTCATCTATATATTTCCAGATGGTATTGGAAGAAGTCAAACTAAACTTTTTATAGGAAAAGAGTGGGGTGGCAAATGTTCTAGCTCAAAAAAGAAAGCAGAAACAGGTGGAATTGGGGGTGAAATCACTAAAACAACCATATTCCACATTTTTCAAAAATCAGCCCAGAATAGAATTTTATTTAGAAATTTAACTCTACACTAAGAAATATCTTTACAGGAAAACAACCTGTTGGAAATCTCATTTTGAAAATTCTTTAACTGAATGGGGACATTTCTTCCACACTGTAGGTGTCACACATTTTTCAACCTGACATTTGTGTTGACTCAGTGAAATATGTTTTGGGTTTAATTTCAAAATTTCTCACAGGATGGAAGAAACGTCCTGACCTGTTTTGGGTACCATGACCAAAGCAAAGTGAACTAACAGCCTCACCAGAGGGCTGTGGGGCAGAGGTTAAGCCAATATTATTTTGTGCAAAAAGGCTATAATGACACGCTTCTGTTTGTTGAGAGGGTTCTCACTTCAAATCTAAGATTTAATGTATCTTCTTGAAATTTGCTTGCAATCTTGTGTGTGGATTTCTCACTTGTGGACCCTACACAATCAGTGAGACTTTTGGAATCAGCTCTGCTGAGAAAGGGCCTCTTCAAAACCTCAGGGGGTTTGCAGAGGTTGCCACATATATCAAACAGCCCTTATAAAATTCTTGGACCTCCCACACTAAGAACTTCCCCCTACTCTTATTTCTCCAATGACAAACCCTTGCACCAATAGGATCAGAATCAGGCTCTTAATTAGGAGAGGGCAGATGGGAAGATCCTCTTCCCTTCTCCACATGCCCACCAGTTGGGTTCTGGCAGACTTCAGCTGCTGGCAGTAGTTTATTACACATGAAATAAGCCCATTTCTGCTGTTTATTGGATTTCACAAAAAAATAATCACTTGGGAAAGAAACCTTACAAGCATCTCATTCTTGGCTGCACCCCTTTCACATATATATAGTCTAGATTTCTCTACTTCTCACTTTTAATGAAAAAGCTCACTTCCTTATGTCAAGGAAGTAAAAGGGAAAACCAGATGACATAATCACAATCTGTTAATAGGCAACTTCATGCCCTTTTATTAGCACAGGCAATATTCCCATCAGTACTCCTAAGCACTGTATTTATTATGGGACTGGTAGTCAAGTATCAGACTTCCTCAAAGGATTTGTTTCCCCTAATTTAAAAATAGAAAAATCATGACATTGTTGTGATCATGGAATTTACAGATGAAGCTTTCTAGAACTCATGGCTTTTTATGAGAATCTCAATGTGGAAGAGAAGTCCCAGGCTCTAGGTGTACTTGCAGTTGTGCTCTTAGAGCCTCAGCACAGCAGCACGGGGAGAGCAGAGGAGGCAGGTCAAAGTGGAGTCCCACTCTAGAGTCCATCCACCAGGACCAGACAGGGCACCTTTCTAGTGCCTCCTCCAGTTTATACTCAACAATATCCTCACTATTTTAAGCACAACACTATGAAAATTGCACTGATAAACAGGGGAAAGGATAAGGAGCCCAAGTTCCACTGCTCAGAAGGGAAGAGCAGTTTCATGAAGCAGCAAAATGGGACATTGTCAAAGAAGTATTTTTGAGTTGAAATTTGCATCTGGTTCTTTTTTGTTTTTTTCCTTTGTTTGGATGATTTCTGTTCTAGTACAAGTTATTTTCAAGATCTAGAATAAAACCCACTTGGAAAACACTTTAATCTGACACACTCCACACTGTAATGACTGAGCAGCTCTTTCTGCTTCTTAGGATAAAAATGCACCACAGAGAGTATAAAACCAGAACAAGCAGAATCAGAATCCAATGTCAAACTTGATAAAAAATATATTACATTACTATAATATATATAGTTATCTTTATAAGTTTGTCTTATTTGGGGGAAAGGTTTAGCAGCATTTTAAAACTAAAAGTTAGGAGACTACAAGGTAAACAAAGCAAGTGTCTGGAGGAATTGATCCAGGTAGAAGTACCTTGGCACTTGTGCAGTATTGATAAAGTGACATGAGTTTGTCACCTCCATCAAACTGTTCCTGTTTTCCATAAATTATTCACTTTTTAAAGTTTCATTACCCTTGTCTGGCTCACAGAAATGTCAGCATGAGAGAGAAGCTTAGATCACTTTGAGCCTGTTCTGTGGTAGTGCTTTAAATACTAAACCAGTGTAAACAAGTGTCTAACCAAGCAGGATGGCATGAGCCTGTGCATGTTCCTGCCACTTTTAAATAGCAACTACTCCTCTACTTTGGATTTCAGATGCAGTTGAAATGCCTGGAGGATGCTTTATCAGGGGATGCTCAGGCAGCTGCTCCTTGCAGGAAATGGTTTGTTTCCTCTGAGCTTCTCCTGATGCTCCAGGACAGGCTGACCAAGGAAATACTGTTCCATGTTCAGTCGCCTCAAAATATGGGTAGGTTGAAAGGCATAGCCTCATCAATTCTGGATTCCCAAAGATGAACAACTTGGGAAATGACCTGATAGAATCTTTAATTTTCTTTCTGTTTCATTTTCCATTTATACATTTTACGTGGAGCTGATAGCCAAATTAGAACTTTGCCTTACTTTCCCTCTGTAAATTCAGTAGCAAAAATGTAAGGATCTTAGCACTAGTAGAAGGTAAGGCCTAGATATCAATACTGAAACCCTCTTGTATTTACTTTAAGCAGTAGGTGGTGGTAACTCCAGCATCACAAAATACTTCATAGGTGAGACCAGCACTTCTGGTTCAGAAGGACAAAGAAATTTAGCAAAAGCAGGAGGTAAGGTACCAAATACAGGCTGAGGAAAGGACAGAACTGGCAGCAATGCATGACACTGTGTGAGACACAGAGCACACCTCAGCTAATGACCAGAATAAGCAAAACACTTCTTTCCTAGCAAAATGAGATAGTCAGTAGGCTGATGGGAACATCTAGGGTTCCACTCTTCTGTATAACT